ACCGTCGCCGCCGCCTCCAAGCCCACCACCGCCCTCACCCCCGCCGCCGAGCTCGTCGCCTCCGAGGCCGCCTCCGTCTTCACCACCGCCGTCGCCGCCTCCGTCCAGCTCACCGCCTCCTTCGCCGCCGCCGCCCTCGCCGCCGCCGCCGGCCCCGCCGTCTCCTTTGCCGCCGGTAGGTATCGCTGTGGAGACGGACGCTTCAACCCCAGACAGTGAAACTGGACGCCGCCGCCAGCGCGTCCTGCTCGACGCCAGCCAGATGATTGGCCAGCTGGCGTCTACTCTGTACGACAACGCCGACAGCATCTCCCTCGACGCGCAGTTCTACCTCGTCGACACAATTTCCGGGACCGCTCTCGACCAGGCCAAGATAATCGACCTGTGCGAGAGCGCGGCGGCATCGGCGACGTGCGCCATCGGCGACGGCGCCACCATCTCCGAGCTCAAGCTGCTGCAGCTGCTCAACCGCACCGACACGATCCGCGGGGACCCTCTCCTTGACGCCTCCGAAATCGAGGATGATGGCGCGGGAAGGAACGTCACCATCTCGCACGCCAACAAGGTGGAGATCGTTGCCCGTTCCGTCGCCATCTTGGAGGAGGGCCAGACGCTTGATGAGCTGGCCGCCAACGTGACCGCGGAGAACGAGCTAAAGATCACACGGCTCCGTGACAATACCAACCTCCAAGGCGACTTGGCCTTTACCAGCCTCGTCATGTTCCCTCCGCGTCCGCCACCGTCGTCGCCGCCGACGCCGCCTCCATCCCCACCACCCCCATCGCCCCCGCCGTCGCCGCCGTCGCCCCCGCCACCCTCAACATCGCCGTCGCCCCCGCCGCCCTCAGCGTCGCCTTCGCCCCCGCCGCCGTCCGTGTCGCCCTTGCCGCCACTGCCGTCCGCCTCGCCCTCGCCACCGCCTCCCTCCACCTCGCCCTCGCCGCCGCCTCCGTCCGCCTCACCATCGCCGCCGCCTCCCTCGGCCTCACCGTCGCCGCCGCCTCCCTCGGCATCGCGCTCGCCCCCGCCGCCCTCAGCATCGCCGTCGCCGCCACCGCCGTCCGCCTCGCCCTCGCCACCGCCTCCCTCCACCTCGCCGTCGCCGCCGCCTCCCTCCACCTCGCCCTCGCCGCCGCCTCCGTCCGCCTCGCCGTCGCCGCCGCCTCCCTCGGCATCGCCGTCGCCCCCGCCGCCCTCAGCATCGCCGTCGCCCCCGCCGCCGTCCGTGTCGCCCTCGCCGCCGCCTCCCTCGGCATCGCCGTCGCCGCCGCCGCCGTCCGCGTCGCCCTTGCCGCCGCCTCCCTCGTCTCCGCCGCCGCCGTCCACCTCACCGTCACCACCGCCTCCGTCCGCCTCGCCCTCGCCGCCGCCTCCGTCCGCCTCGCCCTCGCCGCCCCCTCCCTCCGCCTCGCCGTCGCCGCCGCCGCCGTCCGCCTCGCCGTCGCCGCCACCGCCGTCCGCCTCGCCCTCGCCGCCGCCGCCGTCCGCCTCGCCCTCGCCGCCGCCTCCGTCCGCCTCGCCGTCGCCGCCGCCTCCCTCGGCATCGCCGTCGCCGCCGCCGCCGTCCGCCTCGCCGTCGCCGCCTCCCTCCGCCTCGCCGTCGCCGCCGCCTCCCTCCGCCTCGCCGTCGCCGCCGCCTCCCTCCGCCTCGCCATCGCCGCCGCCTCCGTCCGTGTCGCCGTCGCCGCCGCCTCCCTCGGCATCGCCATCGCCGCCGCCTCCCTCCGCCTCGCCGTCGCCGCCGCCTCCCTCCGCCTCGCCCTCGCCGCCGCCGCCCTCAGCATCGCCGTCGCCGCCACCGCCGTCCGCCTCGCCCTCGCCACCGCCTCCCTCCACCTCGCCATCGCCGCCGCCTCCCTCGCCCTCGCCGCCGCCGCCGCCGCCCTCAGCATCGCC